TTTGAAATAATTTTTCACAGATTCGTTGATGCATTCTTCAAATGCATAGCCATGCAAAGAAAAATGGAACTTTTTTTTTGTTCTTATTTTTGTTTGTAGATGATGAAATTTTGAATTTCAAACTTTATTTTGCAAAAAATTGTAAGAATGTCTCATTCGTATTCTCAGTGATGTCTGTTGGGATTGAGGAAAAGAAGTAATTTGTTTCATTTTCTTTTTCAACTTAATTCATTTTTTTCCTTTTTTCCTAAAAAAAAATCTATATAAAGTTTATTTTTTTTTTCATCTCAACCTAATTCATTTTGCTTTTCCTATTCTAAAAAAATCTATATAAAACCGAAATTTTACTTATTTCATTTGTGCTATTCCTTTGGCAAATTTAAATCTCATCCAGTTGGATTATATTAAAATGAAATTAATTGAGATTTTTCATTTCTCTTTTGCACCAAATGCACTATTCTGATTTATTCCACAATTCTTTAACAATGTTCTACTTAAACAATATAATGATTAAAATTGCCCTTCTTTGACCACAAGATATCATTGATAATGAATGTATCAGACATTATTTTATCAAATTTTTCTTTATATATCATTGCTATATTGAAAAAAAAATTAAAAAAAAAAGCCTTAACGCACAATTAATCATTGTTTTAATTACATTTTATTCCTTCCCATCATCGTGGAATTAAAATGACTCTCTGTAAGCAGCATAGAATTTTTCTCTTCTATCACTTATCACTGCTTATTCTTTTAATAAATTACGTAGCTTAACTTTTATCATGCTGATATTTACTGAAAATCATGCAGGATAAAATAATCATTTCTATTTAAATTTTAATCAGTATTTAATGATACTAATTAATTGTTTTATTTTATCTTATCTTATCTTCGAAATGATTAATTTTCATTCATTCAGAAGTATCATAAAAAAAGTTTTCACAATTTTTATAGAAAATTTTGATTAACATGCACGACTTTTTTACACCTTTCAAGAATAATACGTAAATTTAAGTTATGTTTGGGCGTTTCGTAAACGAATTGATCAGAACTATCGAATGATATTTGAAATGAAGTATGTTCATTTTTAAAAATTTCGATTTCCAGTAAATATTTTATGTAAATCTTAACGTGTAACTTAGGATTTCTAATTTAACTATCCTAAAAAAAATGTTTCGATTCCGATTTCCATAAAATCTACATCAATTTTTTCTTCCTCTTTTATAATTATTCCCTGCTCAAATTCATTTATTTCCATATCAGGCAAAAATCACCTACAATTTTCGTAACTTATCGAATCAATCGATAATGCATATTTTTTTGGAATATTTAAAACAAAATTTCTTGTTGAAAACATTCATTTTATTAAAAGAAGTTAATTGCAATAGCACAAAATTATTGACTAAGCTATTTTCATCTACTTTATGAAATTAAACGGACTTTAATTCCTAATTAGCTGTAACGATAGAAACTAAATCTAAATTAGCAAATATTTCTAATACTTATTGGTGATAATAATAACAATGATAATAATGATGATTATTCAAGTTCTCATTATTTTTCACTTAACTTACTTTTAATGACTCAATTACATTCACAATCTTGACATTTAATCATCTTGCATATGTGCATAATTCCCATATTGACAATGATATTTATCATGGTAATTACATTCGTTATTGACATAGGAATTATGCATTATGCATAAAATATGCAATGCTTTTAAGCAGAATGATTAAATGTCAATTCAGCCAAAAGTAAACTGCGTGAAAAGTAATGAGAATTATTTACATAATCATTATTATCATTTTTCCTTTCATGTCAATCGTCATGAAAAGTATTGCTTTATTACTATAAATTTTGCAAAATTTAAATTAATATATAAATTTATCTTTGTTTAATAATTTTTTCGTGTTTTTTAGTAAACACTGCCTATGTGATATAAATTTTATATAAAATATCAAAAATACTTATATTCATTTACATTATTATCATTTACCATCATTCAGTATTATTGCTAGTAATGCTATTAGCTATTCTCTCTGTTAGAAAGTAAGGTTAACAAGTAACATGTAAAAATAAATTATTAATTCATCTGCAGCAACTTTAAATTGTTCAAATCTTTTTCGTCCTTTTTCATCGTATGAGAATAAAAAATTTTCAATTTGAAAAAAAATTGAATTATTATTTAATCATTATTTTTCACTCTCAATTTTACAATAATTCTGAAATATCTGTTCTTTTTACCATCTTCTAAGTTTTTCAAATTGCTTTTAAGAACTTTCAAATCTTTTAATTAAAAAAAAAATCATTCTATATGTCGTCATTTAATACTAGTACTATGACTATCAGGAAGAATAAAAGAAGGTAAATAAAATATATGCATTTATTTAATTCTTATTTTAATACTGTTTGCTTTATTCCCATTCTTATATTGTTTCCAAAACCATTTACTGTTATCATTATTATCATCCTTTATGTCAAATGTTATCGCCATTATTCACTATTTTCTTTCCGCCTATCAAAGCGCATTCAACTGATAATTTTTATCACTATTCACTATTTTCTTTCCCTTATCAAGGCGCATCCACTTGATACAAAGTACATCGGAATAATTTCGACACTGAAAAAATAGAACATCAGAAATCCATGAAAAACTGTATCGGTTTGATTTAAAATTTTTGCATTTATTTTGGCAATGTAAAATTATGGCTCTACGCTTTTCTAATACAACTTTATGCAAATTACAGCTTATAAAATATTGAATAAGACATGTAAAAAAAAAAACATGTACATTGTTTTCATTTCATCATTGCTGATAAAGATTTGTGTTTGATGAAGAGGATGATAACTATCATTATGATGATAATAAGTGATATGCGATGATGGTGATGATAATGCTTTCCTCTTTCCTGTTCGTTATCACTATCATTATCATCACTGTTGACAACTCTTACCATAATTTCCGCTAGCACTTTTACCCACAATTATCCCCATTTGCATATTATTCTCATGATATGTGCCATTTTTAGCTATAATCAATATTAGCTATCAAAAGAAAAATTGAAAGAGTAAAAACAAAGTGCCTAGGACGGAAAATATTACGGTAATCATTCAGAAATCTCAATTAATATATGTGCTTGAGACACTCGAAAAAAAAAAAAATTAAGCACTATATATCTTGCTGACATCAACAAAATACATTTCTCACTCTCTTCTCCATTTCTCTCCTCTTCTCTCTCTCTCTCTCCCTCCCTCTCTCTCTCTCTCTCTCTCTCTCTGATTAGTATACTATTCATATTCATAATTATATCAATTATTTATTTATATTTTGCAAGTACGAATTTGAGTACTGAATGAGTGAAAGAAAAAAAGAGAGCCTATTTTGCAGAGAAGTATCGGAAATAGCTGCAAAGCAAAACATTTACTAGGCCCATTATGTGAAAGCTGTCTATCATTCATTATGCTATAAAAATAGCTGTAAGCCGACAAGACACACAGCTTACTCCTCCTATCTTATTCATTCTTTTCTTTACAATTCAACCAATAAACTTTCAATTTCATTTCAAATTCATTTCATACAATCATTCCCTTATACTATTATTAATGATTATTCTCAAGGTTGATGAAGAATGAACGATTAACAGTATGATCTTTCTCATAAATTTATTAGATAACATTTTACCTTACCGTATATATAAACGAAAATCATCATTTTACTATATCATTTCCATTTATGATCGTCAATACATAAGTAATTAACGTAACGTAAACGTGACAAACGATATGGAAAGACTCATTGTAGTAACGTCAAATAACCAATTGGAAACTCTGCATGTAACGATCAATTAATTAACACTAAAACTCAACTAATTCGATCAATTAATTAACACTAAACCTAACAAAGCTATGCTAACTTGTCATTACAGTCGTTCGATACCCATCGTATCCGAATAATTTGCTCACTAAAATTCATATGCGACACATACAGTATAAATATATTAATTGTTGGCTAAATAGTTGGGAGGGATTAGCATTGTTTTTTTCTTTTTAAATTCCCGATGAAAGAAATATGGCTTACGAAATAATAGGCTTAGTGTAACATTGCACTATATTATCTATTGATAGATGAGTGTAGCAAAATTTCTTCTGGTTAAAAAAAAAAAGTAAGCATATGCTAGTAGGTTGATTAATTAATGCTAGTAATTTGTCTATTGAATGGGTAAGTAATCTTATCGAGATAAGTATTGAAATAAGAATAAAATCCATAAATGTTATACGTTAATGTCATATGTATTTTACAGTGATATGCATAATTTTTATTTTTATTTTAAATAATTTCTATATTTTTGCTATATTGAATGCTATATTAAAAATGTTTTATGGGATATTTTTTTTATTCATAAGAGCATTTTAAGAGTGCTATATTGAGTGTTTATAGTTATTTATTGGGGATATCTTTGATTTTTGCTCATCAAAGCATTTAGCAGTTTATCATTATGCTTAATAAAACAGTCATTTCGTTTTACGCGATTTTATCTTCATCATTTGCATTATCCAGTATTCCATTATTCTATTTCATTTGAATAAAATTTAAATTTTATCAATCAAATTTTAGATATTTCGAATAAAGGAGGTTGGCGGTACTTGTTATTATTCGAAAATAGCATTTTTTATTGCTTATTGTCTATGTCAATGTGCTGTTGAATGGTGTTGTATCATTCGCTTTTGATTTGATTACTATCAACGAACTGCTTTATTACTCTGATCAACAGATTAATTTGGTATCGAAATAAAAAGAAAAGTATTGTATTAAAACAATCCATTTTTATTATAAGTGCGCTAGCGCTGTTGCTCTTAAACTCTTGAAAGTGTGGTAAAGGTAAAAGTGACAACTGTTGCAAGCGATAACGAGACTGTATCAGCACATCGAAAGATAGTCGAGAGAAACAGAAGAACTGGTACTTGGAACATACCGCAAAAAAGCGGAGGAGAGCGATATGACTGTAGCCACACTGGGTTACACGATGGTCATCTGTGGCAATAGTGATGATCCACAACATAGGTATCGAGGACGAATTGAAAAGTTTGTCATGCTACAATTTATTAGTTATTAGAGTATTTTCTATCAATTATTGTATAACTTCATAGTGCTGATAAATTATTTACTAAAAAGTCAATAAATTGAAAATGCATTGTTCAAATAAAAATCATACTATTCGATGTGGGAAATCACTGCTTTGATGATTTTCTATTTTCTACATTTTTTTTTTCTCCTAAAAAATTGAAAAATATATCTTAAATGGTTCAATTTCTCAAATTATTATTGCTCATGAGCTTTGGTATTCATGATTTGAATATGATTAAAAGATTTGTATTTACATTTCAATGGATAATAAAGGTTTGCAAAGAAACTGCTTAAATTCTTGATAGTGATAGTATTCGTTTAGAGATAGTAACTATCACCATCATTTCTTATTTCCCTACGATATAAATTTAGAAAATATTCCCTTAGTTCCCTAATTCATGATACTTCGACGTTGGAGGTTTTATTAGTACTGCTTCAGTATCTTCCAATTGTTGCAGGGTTAAATTTGGAGTTCCAATTGAAGAAGCCTTCGCTCATGATATACCCGCTACTTTATTAGTAAGTAATATTAAATTTTATTTTTGCAGTTGTTCCAAAGTGTGTTCAATGAACTGAAGATCAATTTATTTATTATTTAGCTAATTTACTTGAGGATTCTTTTATCACTTTTTGAAATATGCCTGTTGCATTTGAATATCAATAAGTTTGACCACTGAAACTAATTACTCTTTTACAAAAAATATATTTTGACAAGAAGAGAAAAGAAAATGGAAAGAAATTGCTAAAATTTTGCATATTTCAATAGTTTATTTCTTGCTCTCTAAGATTTTGGGCTTCTTTTTTATTGTTCTTAAAAGAAAAAATTTTGTTGAACAAAAGATGTCCTCGCAAACCAACTATTATTTAGCGATCAAATATAAAATTTTTTCTTTCATTTGCAGGTACTACTATTAAAAGTACATAAAGATGGTCCCGCTAAAAAGGATATCTGGCGTGCACCGGGTAATCAAGCTCAAGTACGAAAGCTTTCACATATCATGCAACACGGAAGGCTTGTAAATATTGCCAATTTTAGTGTTTATACTGCTGCATCTGTTATTAAGGTGAACTACAAGCTCTTTTTTGTCCTGTTAGCAAAAAGTTCATTCTTTCGATTGCTTCTATATACTGTTTGTATATTTATCAATATTTGCTAGCTTAGTATAGCTCTCTTCTTATTGGGTATATTCATCCTTCTGATTTTGTTAATTAAATGTCGGTTTGGGTGGAAACTGTCCACTTAAAATAAATTCATGTAAAAGTTGTATGATTCAAACATTGGTTAGTTATCGAGTATGTTCAGGATATAGCTTAATTCTATGTAAGAGCAACATACAATAATATGGATGTTAAGCTGCTTAATTATTTTTTTTACTTTTGTTCAAAACATGCTTCTTTTCTAATTCTTCTCAGTTTTTGTATTTTAGAAGTTTTTATCGAAATTGCCTGGTGGCATATTTGGCCTCGAAAATGAACAAAAACTTTTTGATTTGTATAATATATCATCAGATATGGAATTGCAGAGACAGTCGTTTTGTCGGTGAGTTTTATTTAATATTAACTAATTCATTTGACATTTACTGACATTTTTCCTGTAACGTTTTTTTCATCTTGTTTTGTTGGTTGCTACTGTCGGATTATTGCTGAATTAAACCAGATTTCTTACAAAATATATTTCTTGCCATTAACTGATATTCAATTTTTCTGCCATTGTAATCTTGATGGAAGTGTGCTCTTTTTATATTTCGCATATGTTGAAATCTAATTATTGAAGTGAAAAAAGTTAAATGAATTGCAATTTCAGAGTATTGAGCAGTTTACCGGTTCCATCACAGCACTTACTTGTGCTACTTTTTGGCACTTTTTATATGATCTCAGAATCAGCTGATTCATTTGGCTCAAGGATGACAACAGAAGCTCTTGGAATTTCTGTAGCGCCTTCACTTTTCCATTCATGTATTCATGATGGACAGCGGGTTCGTATGTTTTTATTTTATGAGTTGTGATTTTATATAAAGTGAATGGAAGCCGTAATGTAGATGGATATTTATTGTCATCAGTTGTGTTGAAATGTTGAAAATTGTGTTGAAATTGATTGTATTGGAATTTAAATCGAACATTATAATTCATCAGTTAATAAGAGTAGCGTTGTCCACTAGAAGGTTTTTTTTTTTTCATGACAATAGCATCTGCGCTGTTATCGTCACCAAAATAAAATTTTTACAAAATAGACTGTGTTCTTACTAGTTACTTTAACAAATTCAGCTTTCGAGATTGTAAACTAATTTGTACATTTTTTAAGGCGAAAATGGAAGATGTGATACGATTCAAAATTGCTTCCGAGATCATCTCAAGAATAATTGAAAATTTTGGTTACGCAAATCTTTTTCCACGAGAAAGTTATGAATTTTATGCTCGTATAACAGGAAGAGCACTACGATTTGATGAAAATGATTCACGACTGCGATTCGTTACACCAGCTAGTAAGTTATT